GGTTTTAAGTTGAAGGTTTAGGGTTTAGGGATTTTAGGATTTTAGGATTTAGGGTTTAGGGCTTAGGGATTTTAGGATTTAGGATTTAGGGTTTAGGGATCTTAGGATTTAGGGTTTAGGGTTTAGGGATTTTAGGATTTAGGGTCTAGGGATCTTAGGATTTAGGGTTTAGGGTTTAGGATTTTATGATTTAGGGTTTAGGGTTGAGGGTCTGGGGTTCAGGGATTCAAAAGGCGGGTTCAGGTTGTAGGGTTTGTAGTTCAGGGTTTAGGGTTTACGGTTTAGGATTCATTAGCGTCTAGCCTGGGCTTAGGGTTCGAGGTTGAGGGTATAGGGGTGTTAAGGTTTCATCATGGGGGATTTGGGGATTTTGGTTTAGGATTGGGATGAGGGTTCGCGGTTATGGGTTTAGGGATCAGGGTTGAGGCGCCCCGGTTTTGGGAAGTAATTTGAAGGCCTTAGAGCCTAGTTATACGGTAGGATGGGGGCTGTGCAGGGTATCGGGATTCTGTTGGGTTCTGTGCGCTTTGGCAGGCAGTGATCAGGCAAGGATTACATCCGGGTCGTAGGGTTTAGGGTTTGGGGTTCAGGGGCTTTAAGAATGGCTACGTGTGAGCTGCTGACCCATTGCTTTCGGCTTTTGAAGACTGACCTGTAAACTCGTGGTGTTCTAAGTGCCTACTGTCAGTCCTAGATAAGGCTCATGTAAGGAGTCTGTAGCTAAGGTGCATGAAAGAGTTTCAGGGCTTAGGGAAGAGGAGCTCCATTTTGGTGAAGAACTTGGACCAGTGCTCCAGAGGGCTGAGATAACGGGTTGGGATTTTTTAATCAGTGAAGCTTTAGAGTCAAGTGTATTTCGGCTTCCTTATAGCCGGGACTGTGGTGTATCTGGGGGGTATACGAGGTTTTTTCAGCCTTTTGATAGGAAGTTGGAAGCACTAGAAAAAACTGTTTGTGTAAGCCCTAAAGAGTTCCCCTTGCCACCCAGAAAGGTGCTGGCAGCAGTCTTTCAAGGTACAAAATGTCTGGTATGGCCTGCTGCTATATGTACTGGGGGTCCCTGTTCAGAATGCCCCTGAACTGAGGCACAGCTGGTAGTATCCGCAAATAGGGGCCCCTGATGTTAGACCCCAATGTAAATTATCATCCTGATCTCTGGAAACCCCCAGCTGTCGTGGCATTGGCGCCAGTCACCTTGATACCCCAAATCAATCTTAGCGAAGCCTGAACCCTGAACCTCCCTAAGCTTAAAACCCTTAATCTCAAATAAACCCTAAGCCCTGAGCTTTAAACTCTAAACCCACAAACTTAGAATCCTAAACCCTAAACTTTGAACCCTAAGCCCTAAACCCTTAGGTTGGAAGATGTTTGAAGCATCGGCCCCCAACACGCTTGAAGAGTATACGTGTAGGGTATGGGTTTAGGGTTTAGGGATGTACCCGTCAGAAATCCAGAATTGAGGGCCCGTTCTTCGAGGGCGTCCTAAGATGAGCTATAGTCTAAATTCCTTAAGATGGGGTGGGTTATTTAGGGGATTATATATGGCATTATACAGGGGAGTATTATACTGTTGGGGGATACGAGGAGTTTAGACCATAGCTCAGATGGTCTTCAATCATGGGCTTTTAATTGAGTTTGCAGCCTGTATAGGGTATGAGGTAGGTGTATAGGGGCCCAAAGATGTAGGGCCCATACTAGAGGCCTTGCTCTAGACTTTAGGAGGAAAGCGCTACAGTCTTGAATCATGATCTGATACCTTGAATTCGCAGCCTGCTGAAAGTTTGTCTTCCGGCTAGGGAATGCGCATGAGGGTGTAGGGTTTCGCATGTGGGCATTGAGTGGGTGCTGCCCTTATGGCCCCTATATAACCCTATAATCCCTGTAGTTTGCATTTGCTTTTCCATTATCCCTATGTAACCCCAAGTGTTCCCTATCATCCATATATCATGATTACCAGCGGCAATTTTGCCAGTTGCGGTTTCCAACCCAGAAGTTCCCTTCCTTCCTCCAGACATTGTCCTTCATCTGCGATGGCAGAGCCAATGTCTAAACTCCTTAAAGGAGGGGATTTATAGGGGATTCTATGCAGGACTACTATAGGGGATATTAGGGGGGATACTAGGAGCTGAGATTATGGCTGGTATGAGTGTCTATAGTGGGATATATTGGGGTCATATTGGGATTATGGAAAAGAAAATGGAAACTGCTATAGGGTCACGCAGGGTTATTTATTGGTATCTTGGGGTCATATTGGGACAATGGAAAAGAGAATGGAAACTACTATTAAGGGTTGCGTTTATAATTTTCCTTCATCTGCGATGGCATCTATACGGTGGATAGACAGACTCCTCATGACCTGATGCACCTAAACACTACGGTTCTTGTTATCACAATATACTTGGAGCTCATGCTTTTTCCCCACCAGCGGTATTGTCAAAAGCATGGCAGCATGCCAAGAACTTAGGTGCAAGCTGTAAGCTCGAGCTGATGCAGGTGGGCTTTGTGTGTTTGATGAGTTTTTGATATTGTTTCATTTTTTTACCATTACTTTTCTATAGTTATTATTACTATTAGTGTTGCCGTTGCGGTCAGTGCTTGCCATTGTTGTCAGTGTCTTGTAACCCTAATCACAAATTTGGCTCTAGCCTCGTGAGGTTTGGGCTTGGGGGTTCGGCTACCTCGTTGGGACCAAAACCAAGGTAAGCACATATCTCTGAGTGACATCCAACTCTAGATGTGGATGTTTGGAGGTTTTGTTGATAGGCCTTCTGTGTGTTCAGGTATGCACGCGCGGTTTGACGGGCATTCTTCAGGGGGTTGCGAGTGTGCTGCTGCGAAATATCATTGGCTTCCCAAGCTCAATATAAGCTAAGGAAGGTGCCTGACCAGGATTACTTGGCGCCTTTCACTAGGCTCTGTTGGTTGAGCCCCCGCAGAGGAGAGACCACGAACCCGGTCAACAAACCTCGCATGACGCTTCTCACCTGCGGGTAATTTTGACATGAGGCTTATGTCTGTAAACAAAGCTGGGTCGCTTCATGGGGTTCTTTTACCAGGCGTTGACTTCTTGATCCTCTGAAGGCTCTGCAAACACACATCCACGAAAAGATGGCAAGCCTAATCATTCCTCATACCCCTAAACCGTAAACCCTGAACTCCACCTACACCCCAAACCATGATTAACAAACCCCTTCCCCTTAATAGGGATTATAATCGGGATCCTAAGATTAAGGCCCTTAAAAGGAGGTGGTTTACTAATCATGGGTCTACATTAACCCTAAACCCCCGAAACCCTAAACCCTAAACCCCAAATCCCCTAAACCCTAAACCCTAAACCCTGAGCCGTAAAACAATATCTTGAATTCCAGGACTCCTCCTGGAAGCTGGAGGGGTGACCCCAAAGCCTGAACCCCTCAACCCCAAGCGTCAGACAACTGAAACTTTGTAGCTCAAGTTATGAGCAAGAGGCCATAACTTCCAGTTACACCCGGCACATCCAAGAATATTGTAAAATATTCAATAATTTCCAATAGATCTCGTTAACAGTCCTTGTAGAATTATAGTAGAACGTACCGCAACAGCCTCATCCGAATTGCCAGCTGCCGGGATTCTTGCACGGGGACCCTCCAGAAGCATTTTTTGATTTTTTTGAGAACCCGCCAAAGTATTCTTTTGTACTGATCATTCTCTCCACTACTCCCAAAATCTTTCCTGGAGAGTCCCTCTAGCATTCCCTGCAAGCACTGCAATCCTAAACCCTAATCCACCAAACTTAATCGTTACATACCCTGACACACCTCCAGTTTCTCTGTGATTTTCCAATTCAGCTCCAAATCCCGAAGCTTCTCGGCCGCTTCGCATGTGGCCACCTGCTGTGCAGGAGGAGGTCTTGGGACCTACCAAGCGAGCCTGGCACGACACCCAGGGATCAGGATTTCAGGGTTTACTTGGAGGTCAGGAAGACTTTGTTAACAGGGGAGATAGCTGGGGTGATTATCTGGCCCAAAGGGTTATAAGCATACTTACTAAGTCCTTCTAAAACTTGAAATGCTTACTAAGTCAGCCTGACCCTCCTAAAGATTTAAGGATTGGGGCTTCTTTCTATGAGGCGATTACAGCAGTGAAGAGGCCTTCATTTGTTTGATTCGTTTCTGAAATATGTGGCTAGATTCCCTGGGGTTCGGCGCAATTAGGACTGGAGACTCAAGGAGTTTATCAGCCTTGTTCAGACGTACTTGGAGGTTCACGAGAAATAGTAACTACTTATGACTGGGCTTATAACTCTACTTATAACCCCCCTAAATGACCTTATAGGGGTTACCCCAAGTATCAGTAGGGTAATAACCCCAGTTATAAATAGTTACTAAGTTCCATGACCCTCCAAGTAGGGCTTAGGGTTTTGAGGGTGTTAAGGTTCAGGGTGAGAGATCTGAAGCCCAAAGCCTGGATTCACCCTCCCCCAAACCGCTTTGGAATCCCATATCTTAGTCCCATGAACCTCCAAGTACTGACCTGGTCTTTAGGACCTCGCAACTGCAAGTAAGATGAGCACATGCGCGGGTTGCAACAAAATTGCCCAAGCTCAGCATCATAGTAATACTAACAGCAATATATGGAAAACAGCTGCTCCGGGGCATAGGGGCGACTTATAAAATCTGTCGGAATGCTTCCCCGCCCCGAAGCTTTGGGGTTCGGGGTTTAGAGTTCAGGGTCCAGGGTCCAAGGCAGGTTACGGTGACCTTTGGACAAATTCCCGTGCACATGCTCTTCTTGTGAGAAAGGCTGGATGCCTGCGAAGAAGTCCTTGCCCCAGTCTTTGGAGCCACAACATAAACCCCTAAACTCGATGTATAGGAACACATGGGGGTGATACAGGGATCAAGTAATAAGGACGAAAGGGTATATGGGGATCCCTCTCGCCGGATCCCTCCCTTCCTTCTGGTGATGTAGAAAGGTGAAGCTTGGTAGGAATTTTGAGTGGTCAATGTTCAGTTTGTGCAGAGTCTACAAAGGTGTACTGTATATGCTGGGTTGATAGGCCTGGTTGTGTGGGTTTGGGAGAATTTATGATTCTGATGTTTCCTCTCTGGACAGTCTTGACTATTCCCATCATCTAGTTCTGGCACTCAGCAGGGATTGTGATAGCATCAGGGTGGTGCTTCCATTGGTCAGAGTGAGTTCATCAGGTGTGCGCAGGCAGTAAGTGGGGATTTGATGGGGTATCGTGCGATCGTACACACGTGGCTTATTCATGGAGCCAAGCAAATGAAAATTGAGCTATTATTGCGTGGCTTCCAAAGTGCCCCAAACTGTATGTGCTCCTTCCTTGTAAGACTGGCACTTTTTTCATGCTTCAATGACAAGATCCAAAACCACAATTGCTCAAGGTGCCTGTCACAGCGTTTTTTCTAATTTGGGGCTGTGGCTATGGTACCATAACTATCAACGTTTACGGTTTGTAGGATCATGCAGCATTTGCAGCATCAACCGTAATTTGCTTGAATTTGCACGAAAAAGTATTAATCTTACTAGTCGTTAGTAGGGAATTGAAGGATGGATCCCCAGAGGAGCCCGCATACAGCCCGCAATGTTTCAGTAGTTTCCACTATCTTTTCCTTTCCGTAGGCCATAAGCCATAAAGACACCAATTTAAGACTAGAAGATGGTCAATAAAATTCTGCTTGTGTTCATCTATGGAGTATAGAGCTCTGTCCTGGTGTCATATTACAGAGACGGTTCTGGGGGACTTGGTAAGCAGGTCAGTACGTAATAGGGTTATCAGGGAAAGGAGGAATGAACAAGAGATTTGAAACTACTACGTTATGAAGTGTGCAGCATCCAGGGGGGTTTTGGTAATTAGTTTCATGATAAGGACAAGTAGGGTTCGACATCGTTGTCCCATTTCCTGATTTTCGGTTTGCGAAGACTAAGGACTCATGCGTGAGAGTCCCTAGGTCATTTTGTCTATTGGGGTGTACTCAGGGGCCCCCAAACCCTAAACCCTAAAACCTAACCTCTCCCCTTCAACCCCTCCCCCCCAGTTGTGGAAGCTGCCATTCGGATGCAGCTTGCGATCGCTTAGTTGAATAGAGCCGCCCTTGCTCACGGTTGCTAAAGCTGGAAAGCCAACTTGACTGGCTACACTCTCAAGGGACTGAAAGGTTGCAGCTAGAACTGCCATATCTTTTTGGCCTGTCAAGAATAGAGATGTGACATTTGTTTGTTTCTTGGCCAACACTTGGAATTGAACGAGTTTCAATCCGCAGGTTGTCGCTACCGCCAAACGTGTCTGCATCAAGCAGGTTGGCTGCTCCGCCGCCTAATGTAGGTGGCCTAACCCGTGCCAATATTATGGTCCTAGGTTCCTTGTGCAATTGTGTTGAGTATCTCAAGTAGACCTGAAAATTGTATTGGTAACTATTCAATCCCCTACAGTCTTCAGTGTAAGTTGGAACCAAGCGTGTGACGCCTGCGCCAGAAAAGATGCTAGGCTCTGGTTTTGTGCACTATGCTTAGAGACCTTGTCTTTTGTGTACCCTTTCTAGGTTTCATGCCTGCTGCGGCGTCCTGTTGCAGACACAGTTCTTGGTGAAATCCAGTGAAGGTTGGGGAAATATAACCCCAATATGACCCCCATATAACCCCAAAATGAGCGAGAAGTCCCTACCCTTGCTTAAATCTGTCAAATCAACCGTAGCACCCCCTAAAACCAAATCAGTCATAAGCAGGGCCAGGGTACCCAAACTCATAGTTGGTGAGGCCGCCTGTGGGCAGCTTGGAGTAGAACAAGGTTGCTTATAGCATCCTTCCCAGGAAAGGGTACTAGGCCTGGGATAGGTTTGTAGTCAGAATCCTGCAGTCTACTTGGAGGGTCAGGTTGACTTAGCAAGTAGGTTCGTGATGTGGCCATCATGTAGTTTGTGGGGGTTATCCGTAGACTTACTGAGCACCCCTAACAATAATGGTTAATGAATGGGCCTAAGTGATTCGAATCAGGCTTGGGGCCTTACAATGATTAGGCCTAGATTTTTGAGGTTTGCTGTGTAGGCAAAGGTTTTGGGTATAGGGATGCGAATATGGGGCCTACACCGTTGAGGCCTTAGGATGTACGGCTGAGCGGTTTTGGGGTTGGAAGAGTTTGACATGAGGACAGGAGAGTTGCGGTTTTTCATGTGCCAAAACCGAACACCCCACTCCTAATACCCCAATCCTGAAACCCCTAAACCCCAAACCCTAACCCCTAAATCCCTAAACCCCAACAACCCCTAAGCCCCTAAACCCCGAAACCCCTAGACCCTGAACCCCCCAAACCCCCAACCCCCCAAACCCTAAACCTTCCTTGGAAGGTACTGCCCCCCCTTCAGTAACAGTTGGATAATAATTGAAATATGGTGATATATAGCCCTCAATAGGTCCCCTAATATAGCCCAAAACCCAAAACCCTAAACCCTAAACCCTAAACTCCTAAACCCTAAGCCCTTAATAGGACCTGCTGAAAGCCACTCTTCTT